CCCTAATGATTGCATGTTATTTTGGAATGACAATGCAAAGGCCGACAATTGCTCTGTTTGTGGGTCTTCTAGATGGAAAAGTTCTAATCGTTCCTTGACTAATGCAAGTTCTAAAGTTCCTGCAAAGGTTTTAAGGTACTTTCCCTTGAAGCCTAGGCTTCAAAGAATATTCATGTGTCCTGAAACAGCTATTGCAATGAGATGGCATGCTAATGAACGACCTAATGATGGGAATTTGAGGCATCCTGCTGATGGAGAAGCTTGGAAGGATTTTGATTCTCTACATCCCGACTTCTCCAAAGATCCACGTAATGTTAGGTTAGGTCTTTCAAGTGATGGTTTCAACCCATTTCGAACCATGAGCATTCCTACTGGGAGTAATAATCAAGGTCAGTACGTCTATCTTTGTTTGTTTCTTGCTTTCTTCTTCTCCTCCTTCTGCTTCTTTTTTAAAGTTTCACTTGGAAGATCTTTGATTTTGGTTGCATTCTTATTTTTGAAACTTTTTGGTGATAAATTCTCTTGTTGAACGACTTTGTTGATTTCTTTTTGAACTTCCTGATCTTGCATTTGGGGGCCAGGAGTTTGGTTAAGAACTTTAGTAGTTTCCTCCGAGCTTGCAATTGAAACTTGTTGTTCACTGTCGTACCTAGTCTCATCCTCTTCAACGTTCTGTCCTGCATTCTTTTCTTGTTCTTAGCTCTTTTTCTAGCTCTGCAACTTAGTGGGCTGTCTTCACTGTGAGCTGGTAATGAACTTTGATGATTACATAGGTCCTATTATCAATATTGAGCAGTAAGCTCCAAATTGATATCACATTGTGTAATCTAATAGGATAGAGTAAATGAAATTTTAAAACTAGCCAAGAATTATGTTCAAACTTGAAAGCCTTATGATATATCCTTCTTTGTCGAACCACTGCTTGTATATGATTTGTGCCATTGCTGCTGCATCCTTTTGTTGAAAAAATAATCCCTGAACTTTCTCTTCTATATCTGTAGATTCCATCGTACTTTGCATTGAGTTGGAGTCCCATTGTGTTTCCAGCTTCTTGTCTTGTGAATCCTCACATTTAGGCTTGCTGATCCACACCATATTAGCTTCCTCTTGACATATGTTATCTAGAAATCCAGCTGCTCTTTGAATCCTTCGTGCACATCTGCTAGTATTTCTCGCTAAAAAGAAGATCCAGACATGTCGAAACTGTGTTAGCATTCCTTGTTGTATTAGTGTCTCATGTGATATCCAGTCTTCTTCTGTTGATTTCTTCAATTGGTATCCTTCCTGTGATGTGTATGAAGTAACATACCTTGGGTTATTACTCCAGAATGCATTTGTTAATTCTATCGTTCCTTTCCAAAAGCACCAGACGTGCGTAGAAATGATATAACAACTAGGCTTAAAGCTGCTGTAAATGGGCATACAGCTGTGATTAACGAGCAAAAGCACCAAACACCTGCCCAAAAAAATGCAATTGTCCACTGATTTGCCCCATTCTTTATTTGTAAAGAGCACTGTTCCCAATGTTCCCTTTATTAGTATTCCAAAAAGCATGCCTGTAGATTGGACCATAGTCCTTGATATTCCATCCATGCTTGTATTCTTTTTGGTCCTATCCAAGGTAGTAGGCGTGCAATTAAGAAACATATAAAGCTGCATTGTCTGCCCATCTTTTCCTCGAATTAACACGTTGTCTAGCATGTTGGTTGTGAATCTAAAGAATTTTGCATTTATCCTTTTGTCGTGCACAACTGAAAACATGATTCTTGTATCCTTAAAACTGGAACACTGATGTTGCAGCATGTTGTGCCACATTTCCATTTTCATGCGATCACTCAGCTGCTTCCCCTGAAGCTGTATAGTCCTGCTTGTGCCTACCCTTGCTTCCCTCTCCTTGGATTGAGTACATAGTACTAATACCACCAAGTGAGAGTTATTAAAGGGGTATGGCATGACCACACTAGCCTTCCCTGCAAAAAAGAAAACTAGGTTAGCAATACAATAATCACCACACTCTTCTCCTTGAGTGTGATGATCTACTGTGCTTCCAGCTCCTTTCCTGCTCTTGTTACTCCTATCCTTCTCACCTCCTTTCCAGATTTGGGATATATCATGATGGAGGCAGTATCGCAGTGCCTCCACGGTTGCTCTTGCCTCAGCTTGTGTGTTTGTTGTTTCATCAATCACCTTCCCCACTGCATATATTATATCCCCGTGATCATTTCTCAAGCAAAACCAATGGAACTCCTGCCCGGGTTGCCTCTTGATGCCCCATCGGTATTAATCTTAGTCCATCCAGCCATAGGGAATTCCCAAGTAACCATATTAACCTTCAGTCTAGGCATATAGTTTTCCATCATCCGCAGCACATCTGGCCATCTTTGTGGAACATGTGTAATGCCTGGCTTTCTAATCTTGACAAATGATTGGATTGTAATACAAATCTGATACACTGTCCTATTGATCGACACTGGATCCCCATGCTTATTGCTATTTCTTCTTTTCCATAACTCCCAAACAATGATGCAAGGTAGTGCTAGAAAAACTGGTTTAAGGCGTGGAATGACCTCAACTGTCCAGCATCTAACAATAGCTTGCTGTAGGCTTAATCCCGCAAGAGATAAACCTGCATAGGAGAAGAAATATGACCATACTTTTTTTGCTGCATATGCTGTAAAAAACACATGTGATACTGATTCCTCTTGTGGTCTTACGCAGCACCAATTAAGTCCTGCATATCATCTATTTTGTACTATTCATCCTGCATAAAAATGATGATTTTTATGATAAGTTTTTTACATATACAATCCACCCATTTCAAGTTTTATAACGTAGTAAACATATTAGATTTTTTCATATATATATAGAGTACCAACACTAACAAAATTAATTTGTTGACACATCAAGTGATTATTTCACGCTAGCCATCATATGGTAGAATTGATCGGTTTCTTAGAAATAATTTTCAGCACATCCTGCCGTGGATAACATGAAAGAAACTATGGCATCTAATTGTAGTATATTTGGACTTCCTGTAATTCAAACATTTGAAAAAAAAAAAAGTCATGCCGACTTGTAGCAATTGTATAGACTTTGCATATGTTCCACATGACACATTCTAGTACATTTGAAAACTTTGTGCTTTATGCATTGTTTATGGGCCATACCCATTCTTATAATGATAAACCAACTCTCGAAGGATAATGACTTTATTTATCCTCTTTTGTAGGTGGAGCAATTGAAGAAAGGGAAGATGGAGATTGTGAAGATCTAGACCTTACATAAGAACTTTGAATTGTTGTCCATGTTCTAGGAATCTTTTGTTATCAACGTTTGAAACTTACTCTAACTCTTGAAGTGTTGAAATGTAAAACTTATGTGATATTGGGTTAAAATATTTTTGTTTTATGGAGACAATGTAGATTATGAAGTGTTTTATCTTTTTATTTATATAAATTTCAGGTTATTACAAATTTTGTATATCTAAATGTTCATTTACAGGTGGCTTAATAGTCCATTAGAACCGTCCCAATAGGGCTTGCAAACCGTTCCAATAGGTCTGAAATTATTCCAAAATACTCTACAAGAACCGTTCCAATAGGTCTTCAAAACCGTTCCATCAGGTCTTACAAATCGTTCCAAAATGCGCAACAAACCGATACAATAGGTAGTTAAAACCGTTGCAAAAGAAATAAAACCGTTACAGTAGCGTAATGAAACGGTTAGAATATTTGTAAATAAACGTTGCAATAGCTTACATAACCGTTGCAACAATTTATATGGTAACGGCTGCCAACCGTTGTTGTAAACTCTATGGCAACGGTTTTTAACCGTTACAACAGGAAGGAAGTATTCGTTGCTTCAGACAGAGGAACAACCGTTGCTATAGATATACCTTAACCAACGGTTTTTGTAACCGTTGCAAGAACCGTTACTCTAGATCTACTGGCACGGCAGCGTATGTAACGGTCACTAAACCGTTCCAATAGCTCTATGGCAACGGTTTACCTCTCTGTTGCAACGGTTTTTCAGCTGTGGCAATAGGCTTATTTTCCAGTAGTGCGATGAAAGCAATATGGACGTCAACTTCGAAGTGGAAAAAAAAAGGAGGAAAAGAAATAATCATCATAGAATATAACATTTTCCTAATTCCATCCAACATGGAAAAATGCAATAAAAGCATCTATCTGTATTTGGTGTACTTATAGCAGGGTCCCCGTCCATGTGGTTTATCCATTCTCATCCTGAAAAGGGAAAGGAATTTCATTTTGACAAAGAGATGCTTTTTTGTAATGTAATATAATATTACTCCCTCAATAATAAGTAATTTTTTTGCCTTTTTATTTGGTCAAAAATAAGTGACTTTTTATATAATCAAGAAAAAATTAATTTTGCTTTTTTCAAAATTTGCCCTTATCTACATATTCCAATATGTCAAGTTAACAATATGCAAATTTTAGTTATGAGTAATTTTGCCAAATTTTTTTTTTTTAGGAACTAGTATTTTTTTAAGGGGCGTGTTAAAGACAAAAGAATTACTTATTATGAATCAGAGAGAGTAGTATATATATATATATATATATATATATATATATAATGGTCCTTAGAAGCATATAAAGATAAAAAAAGTCACCATCGGATGGAGTAGTATATAATATATATGGTCCTGGAAGTGGCATGGACCAGGAAAGATAATTTTCACATATTATGATCAAGACCTAACTCCATCAAACTCACTGTCAAAAGCATATACGTGGATATTTGCAAGACACAAATTAATTCGAAGAGTATGACAAACACCACCTTTAATGTATATTTCCTCCTTTTAAAATTGCGTGGCATATTTGAACAGGCACAAAGTTTAAGAAACAAGTAAAAAATTTAAATTAAATTATTTGCAAGTATGAAAAGTTATCATTCATTCTGAAATAGAGGAAAAATGAAATATTGTAATATAAATTTAAATGGGTGGAATAATAAATAAATGATGAGCAGCTGACCTTAAGTGCACTAAGTTCCAGAGACAAACTTTCTTAAGGAAAAAAGAATAGCAAAGCCATATGGAAAACAAATCAGAAAAGAAACCTCGAGTTCTCTGCCTCCATGGCCATGGAGCCAGTGCTGAAATATTGAAGAAAGAAATGGAACTTGGTTGGCCACAAACTGTACTTGAGAAGCTAGATCTTGTGTTCTTGAATGGACCTTTTCTACTTCAGGACAAAGTTGACTCTCATGGCATTTTTCATCCACCTTACTATGAATGGTTCCAAAAGGTTGTCTCGATCCTTTTCTCTCTATATATATATGTATTGAATGATGTTCATTTCTAATGTTACTCCTTCAACTTAGAATCCACCACATATAAATTTTGAGTTCAACCCTATAATATATGTGTGGATGGTTATATTAATCTATACTAAATAGATAACCTGCAAATCGTAAAATGAGAACTTACTCGTTTTTCGTAGCGGACGCGAAAGATCGAATGAACTGCGACTGAAATCACTTGACGGTAATTGTCACGGTGTATTGAAACAACTCCCAACATATTCCAAACAAAACCAACACGTGTAACACACTTAGTTTGCATATTCTTTACCAACTTATACTTCTTGTTCCGAAAATAAAACAAGAATTGCTAAAATGATGGACGCTACGATGTATTTGAATTTCTTGTGTTAAAAATGGAAATTTAGAATTCATTGAGTTTGTGATGGTAAATATATTACTTCCAAATCATCCACTAATTCAGTATTACAGCATTATCTTATCGGGCTCCAAAGAAATTTACAATTTTGAGGAATGTGTTCAATATATAGAAGCTAACATGGAGAAGTATGGACCATATGATGGTGTTTTAGGTTTCTCTCAGGCAAGTATAATTATTCTCTCTTGGATTCTTAGATAATTAACCAATAGTTCATTCTATTACTAAGTAATATACTTATTTATATGATTTTTATCCTCTTTTTAGGGTGCAATTGTAACTGCAACAATGCCTGGAATGCAAAGGGAAAGAGTGGCTCTGACCAAAGTACCAAATATAAAATTTGTGATCATAATATCAGGCTTCAAGTTTGGAGCGCCCGAATTTGGATGCCCTAAGCTTGCTGCTAATGCATATTCATCTCCAATTGAGACCCCATCTTTGCACTTCATAGGTACTTTCCATGACCAGTACAAATAACTTAATCATGGTATATTTAGTTTAATTATTTTCTGATTCTTAAGATTAGGAGGTTTAGTCTGATGCAAGCATGCACTCGATGTGAGTGAGTATTTGCCACAAAACAATGTTATCACAACACATCTCTCAATTATCTTTTCTTGATTAACTTGTATTCCTTCCGTTTCAAAAAGATTGTTTTAGTTTGACATGACACATATTTTAATAAAGAAGGGTAGACTTTGAAATATGTGGTCTTAAATAAGACATAACTTTTGAATTGTGTGGCTATAAATGCTTCCTGTTAAGGAAATATTGAAAGATGTCAATCTTTTTGGAACAAACTAATAAGAAAATAGTGTCAATTTTTTTGAAATAGAGGGGGTAGTATTCTAAATTGCTATTATGCTAGTTTAATAAGATATTAGACTCCATCTATCCCACTAGATTCCACCTAGTTAATTACTTGTGACACTTTGATGGAGGGCCGTCTGCTTAGGATGGGTCCGGGTGAAAGATTAAAGAACTTCTAGTTGCAACCTTCCGGAAAAGGGATGCATATGACACCTTAGACAAATCTTACATCGAAGGAAGAAAAAAGTGAAGTGCTATGTAAAATAGGGAACAAGTTCACATTGTACTCGCGTTTGATAGTGGCGTAGCTCAAGGGACATATCTGTGAGGTCACTAGAGCTAAATCGGACATTACATCTCATGGCCTTAGGATGTGACAAAGACATTACTAGAACGAGACTCCCGCAGTAGTATGGTAGATTCAACGACGATGCTAAGACCCTAAATGGGTCTATATATTATATACCTTGACGACGAGCTAATGAGGGTGTGTCAAGATGAAGGACTAACAGACTTCTAGGCTGGCAAGCTTTCGAAAAAAATGTGAATGTGACACCTTAGACACATCTCACGTTGGAAAGAAGAGGAACATGAAGTGCTACATAAAATAGAGCACAAGTTCACATAACTTACACGCTCGATGATGGCGTAGTCTAAGGGTTAAATCTATGAGATTAGTTGAGCCAAAATGGCCAATATGTGCTATGAATTTGGGCTGTAGCGAAAAATATGATATCAGAAGTAGACTCCAACAATCTGATGGTGGGGCAAATATCAACAAGGACATTGAGTCTCTAAGGGAGCATATGTGACGCCCTTGATGAAAGGCGAGCTGATAGCTAGGTTAAAGGAATTGTATAGTTAAAACAAGGGTGATATGAGTAATATCATAACTAGGGAAGTTAGTATTACCAACCTAAACCTAAAGAGAGAATTATGAATTTTTTTTTCTATTATTTGTTAATTATTTGCTAATTACTCTAAGATAATGTAAGAACAACCATATGACATGTAATTTTCCATAGAGGATAGTGATTCTTTGATTACTCTAGTTAATTTGAAGTATATATGTCACATGATTATATTCTTTCTAATTAATTTTGAGGTATATATGTCCTTATTGTGATATGTGTTGTATAGGTGAGAAGGAAGCCAAAAAAACAAGCGAAGAAGAACTTGTGAAGTGCTTCGTTAATCCTGTTGTGATTCATCACCCAGAGGGGCACAAAGTACCAAATTTAGGTAATTGATAAAATTCCCAGTAACAAGAAAAAATAATTGTGAGATTTTACATTTTTTGTTTAATTTTATGCGAGGGAAAAAAAAGAGAAAACCGTCATTCTCCAGAAATATTAGTTTTATAAAGTGTCTTTATTCTTATAAGTGTATTCCCTCCGTTTCATTTATTAAGAAAGTTACTCTGAAATATTAATTAAGAGTGTTATTGACTACATTACCCTTTATCTGTTCTTAAATTTACTCATAATAGGAAGTTGTAAAGACCTTTTAGAAGTTATTTAGATCATTTATTAATTATTATCAAGGTAACTTTGGAAAGAAAAATTTAGCACCTTCTTGGTTTTTGAAAAATTAATTATTTTAACAAATAAAAACTGCTTATAAATCAAATTAAATAAAATGAAACGGAAGGAGTATCATAAGTATTGCTTTCCGACTTTTAATTAACAACAAAATTGTTTACAAAATCATTCACTTTCTTTACGGCTATTAGTAATTGAAAAAAGAACCAAATTCCAGTGTTGTTGTTTCATTAACTATATTATGCTTCTATTATATAATTACTTGTTACGTATTTCAGTAATAAAATCATACAATTTTATAGGTTAAACTTGAGTAGTCGAAAAGTTGTAATGAATGATTTAAACATTTGAACAGAAGTTAAAAGTCTACTAAGAAACTGAATCCCCTTTATGTGCTTTCTTTATGTTTTTAAGTACAGTATAGACATTTGTTACAGTATTAGTGTAAAATTTTGACGAATATGGAATTTTATTAATTAATTACAATTTTTATGTTACCTATTCAGATTATAATAGATATTTACCCGTTGTTGTAGCTTATTTTAACCTGATGGTGTAAAGCAACTGTTCATGACTTAACTTTGAATATTTCTTTTTAATAATCAAATTCTGATCCTTGTCTGTGTTTATCATCAGATGCTGAAAGTGTGGAAACTGTGATAACATTTATCAACAAGGTCAAGAAAATCAAGATGCCATTGCAGGGAAACTCAAAGATGTAATTTTCTATTCGACAGAGAAAATGTATTTGTGAAATATCACTACACCTATAATATTGAAGACAGTAATAAATACAAATTTATAATAACTCTGTGAGACACTAATTTCGGTAGTATTACTGTGTTCTATGACTATGGTATGTATACTGAATTTGGGTAAATTTGTGCATTGATTTTGTTGCATGTGACATGTTTAAATATTAAATGGACCAAATTTGTTTTGGTAAAAAAGCACATCCTTGAACGGCAGCTTTAAAGTGTCATGACCCAGAATTCCCACCATCGGGATCGTGATGGCGCCTAACATTTCACTTTCTAGGCAAGCCAATGTTAGATGTAATTATTACCCATTTTAAAAAATTTCAAATATAATGTCAATGAAGGAAAACGAAATAGTCTGAAACAAGATAAATAAACTAATAAGTGCGAAAACCAAATACAAATTTCGGACTGGTGTCGCGAATACATGAGCGTCTAAGATACTACAAATAATTGTCTGAAATGATCATAACTGTCTAAATCAGATAAACAGCTAAAGGAAATAAAAGGGGACTTCAGAGCTGCGGACGCCGTGCAGCCATACCTCAAGTCTCCTCTGGATAGCTAGATTTGGGCAAGTCTACAGAACGCCACTGGGATAACTCGTCTCAACAACCGAGGCCAATCCAACAGTCACAAACAATTATTACTTGTAAACATGTAATTTTTGACCCTCCCCGAGATTTTACACAGTTTAGCGCTTAAATATTTAGTTTAGGTCTAATATCGCTATTTTAACTAGTTTTGACTCTTTTACTTTATTTTATCACAAAAATGAAAATTACAATTTTTTTTTATTTAGCTAATTGATATTTTATCTAGTTACTTTTAGTTTATCTACCTTTCATAAAATTAAAAAAAATACAAAAACAGTATTGATATATTATTTTTCTAAAACAAGATAAGAAGAAAATTGTGGACTAATTTTGTCTTGTTTTTATGTGAGAAGACCATTATTTTGAGCTTGACTTTGGCCCAAAAGAGGCTCAAATTCGGCCAAGCCCAAGACCCATCTCCCCTCTAAATCCTAGCCACTTCTCCAATCTAATCCTAGCGCTACCATTAATTCCCCACCCAAAATAAAACCCCAAATTTAAAATCCTAGGAAGACCCTTATTCTTGGACCCCTAAGCTTGAAGACACACCTCCCTTACTCTAGAGAAGGAGCAGCCGCCGGCCACCCCCCCAAGAGAACGTGGACCAGCCGCCCCTCTTCATCACACCACCACAGCCGCCATACCCCCACCCCTAAAACCAGTGGGTGCCGCCACCCTCGCCACCAAAACCCGCCAGAAATCCGCCGCTCGCAACAGCCACCCCATCTCCGGCCATCTCACCAGTAATTCAAAGACCCCAGCCGCACACTCTTTCCTTTCCAAGACTTCTCTGCCGCCACCCTTCACCTAGACTCATTGGAGGTCTTTAGCCACAACCTGCAAAGAAAAGCGAGAGTGAGAACACAAGAAACAGAGCAGAAAATGGACAAACAGAGGAGAGAGACGAGAATTTAGGGGTAAAAGAAATTTTTATGTCATTGTTAAGCGTGGATGGATTAGGTTAATTAGGCAGGGAACACAAGAGATTAGAGAAATCCAAAAGGCACTTCATTTCTTTCCTCTGATTTTTTCACCAAGAGCTCTTTCCAATGTTTGATTGAGGTCGTGTTGGCTCCGAGCTTTTCGGTGCCGATTCGAGTTTCTAGCCGCAGTTCGTCACATTTTTGAGTTAAAACCAGTGAAGAAATCAATTTCCATCTATACCGTGGTCCATTTCTTACTCTTCTCTTCAATTATGCGTGTCTTTACAGTTGTGTTGATGAATTGAATCCATATGTGATTGAGATTATGCGTGCATTTGTCTGGTTGGAATTCTATTGTTTCCCTAAGCACTTTGATTAGTTTTAAGGATTATTGCTGAATCATTTGACTATTAGTAAGCCTGATTAAAGAAAGAGTAACGAGATAGTGCTTTGAAAGCTTCCAATTAAAATGGGTTGTGGATTAGCAAACTTTGGAAAAGAAATTTTGGCTAAGATTAGTGAAATGGATTTGGGAAGTGGTGTTGGAATAAAAAAGAAACAAAATTGAGATTTGAATGCTACACATTTACTATTTTATTTTACTAATTTAATCGCTAGGAGCATGCTTAGGCCAACCACGCTTGGGTAGGCAAATCTTAGGTTTTCTTTATTTCATTTTTATTTGAGGCGAGAGGTCATTTCTTTTAGTTTATTATCCGGGGAATGCCCCGCAAAATTTGTATATATTTTTATCCGGTGTATGACCTGAAGTATTTGTATTTGGAGGCCGAAAGTAGAACCCGTAGTATTTTTATTAATTTTATTTTCATTTTTCATTTATTAGGTGGGGACGACCTCGAGCCTCTTGTGTTTTTTTTTTCTGTGCTTATTTTTACCTCAATTTGAATATTTTAAAAGTCAACTAGATAGAGTACGCAATCGTGACTTTCACGGGACTTGGGGAATGCCTAACACCTTCTCCCCGAGTCAAATGAACCCCCTTACCTAGAACTCTGGTGTAGACTTACTTTTGGAGTCCAAAGTGTTTTGAAAGGAAAAATTATTTCTAAAAAACGGTGACCTGATACACTGAAATCAAATGTCAGGTGGCGACTCTGAAAAATTCTTTCGAACACAATTCTTTGTCACTTTTCAATTTTGAAAACCCTTTCAAGCTTTACAAATCTTTTTATTATTTAATAGAGGGGTTACTGAGGTTAGAGAAAAGGGGTGTGACAGCTTTCGCGACTCTGTTGGGGAGTTGCAGGTTCGAGCTGATACTGTGATCTTGTTGGCTTTTTAGAATATTCGGTTGAGGTTTTAATGTTTTTTTTATTTGCTTTATTTGATTTTTATTTTGTTTGTGTTGTTTTATTATTTTCTAGTTGTTTTTGTGTTTACAGTTTTTTCTTTACATGTTACTGCTTTTTAACTGTCATCATTTGCATAATCTCGAGTCAATTCTTTCTGCAACAAGTCTCAGAGTACGCGTCGCGTATACGAACTCTTTGTTGAGTCACCCTTATTTTAGGAGGGGAGGGGGAGCGTCGGACATATGGAGTGGGTGGAAAGCTTGAGCATCAACCATCGACCATACGCTCCCTCGAATTGCCTTGTTAGTGAACCCCAAACTTAGGTCAGCTTTTAGGTCATTCTTATTTGCATCATATCTTTTAGACCTAGCAGGGCTCGGTCCCAGGCACCGTGTCCCTTTATAGGAGGCCTATCCAAATTATGTCAAAACGATCATCCCTATGTGCTACATGCTGCATTCTTTAAGGGTAAATGGATCATTTGGTGGACTAATGATGGTTGAGGGTAAATGAGAAAGAAAAGAGGGTGATGTATAACGATGAAGCAAGTATGGCCCAGTTATATTTTTCTTTCACACTTTTTTCAAGAAAGGACCGTTGTTGTGCTTAAAGTATATATATTTGTATGGATATCACCTCATATCTTGCTTTTGATTCGTGGATTTAGGATGTGAAATGTGTTTATTATATTAATTTGATGTGTTTTCATGTGTAGGAATGATCTGGGAGCAATCGGGGGCGGAATGTGCGAAACTAGAGCCAAAACGGACGAAAACAGGGAAGGGGCATATTTTAGCGCCACAGGTGGCGCCCAGCCCTACCTGTGGCGCCAGAAACAGAATCAAAAACATTTCAGCGCCGTGGAGGGCGCCTGGCGCTAGCCAGGGCGCCAGTGACGTGAATTTTCTCCAATTTCGCCCGGGACAAGGTTATTTCGTTCCTACACCTACCCAACACGTATAAAAGCAAGACTAAACTTATTTGTGAAAGGGAGACGCCACTTTGGAGAGGGAATAAACACAAGAAACATTTGGGAGCAAGAACATCTCAGATTTCTTCATCTTTTCTTAGTATTTTCAATTATCCAAACTTATGCAATTGTTTGCTAGTGTCATGAGTGGCTAAAAACCCATTGTTCTGGGGTTGTGATTTAGCCATGAATATTGTTGTTTAACGTTGACTTAACCTTGATAATAATTCACTAATATATGGTTATTTCTTCAATTCTGTGATTAATTGCTTAATTGTCTGGCCAGCAGTTAGGTTCTATTTACTATCTATGCTATGCTTGGGAAAGACGTGTTTAGATTAGAGAAGAATTGAAGAGAGCGTGATCTTAACCCTTGGGGGGGGGGATTTGTGGTTAGGATAGGAATATACCTAGTCACCGTGCTTAATTAAATATCGTAATCTTAATGCGTTCTTAATAGATTGATTTCATAGGAATATAGGCGTTAATCGATTTTGAATAGGCGAGTAGTACTTCGGGAGAAAGCTATGAGAGCGATTATCGACTAATTAACAACCATGAGTGAATGTATGAGAGGGAGTGTTAACTAGAACACAATAGGATTGGTGAACCGATCACAACCCTGGAATATTTGTCTCTATTGAATACATAATAATCATTTTACTGCTTGATAATTTAGTTATTACGTAGAATTGTAGTTTAGTATAATCACACTCTTGAACTCAAATTTAGCTTGACTAAATAACAATATTAGTGAGTTAGTGAGCAGTTGATATAAAAATCTGTGGGTTCGACACTCGACTTATCATTTTATTACTTGTACGACCACGTATACTTGTGTGTGCATTTGGGAGCAACAAGTTTTTGGCGTCGTTGCCAGGGACTTGAATATTAACTACTTTCTAGTTTTTGCTTTAATTGTTTATTTAGTCAAGTCTAACGTTACTTGATTGTTGCTCGGATCTCAGGAACTTTGATTAAATGCGTAAGGTCAGAAGCCAGGACCGGCTTCAAGGCTTTGACCCTGAACCTGAGAGAACATTTCACAGGAGGTTGAGGGAAGCGAGGGATACGAATAATATTCAGGCACTCGTTCAATTTCCTGGGAACATGGCAGATGAGCAACAAATGGCTGTTCAGGAGGTGGCGATGCCCAGCATTGCCAATGTCACCTCTAGCATTGTGAAGCCCAGAATCACTGGGCACTTTGAGCTGAAACAAAGCATGCTCCAGCTACTTTATGCGAATGGGTCGTTTATGGGTCTTCCACACGAGGATCCACAACAGCATATCCTGAACTTCTTGGAGAT